CCCATTTATACACTGAGCATGATGTCTGGAGTATTCCTTTGGCCAGCTTGTCCTGTCTATGCTCCTTCTCAGCTTCTATAGGAAGCTGACAAAGTCCTTGACTTAATGTAAGATTTACTTAGCCACAACTAAATGAATATGTATTATTCTCAAACTAAATCCAAAAACACAGCAGCTACTAGGAAGAAAATTCTATCCCAGCTGAAACCAGGACACTGGTTAAATGACACTTTACTGAGCTCAGTTGCAGAGATTCTTCATTTAATAAAGGTGAGTAAATGCAGCTTGGGTCATGAGAAATATGTGCAAAAAATTTTCTCATCTATACCTACCTGCAGAAATCTTAACTAGGATGCAATGAAGATTTTTCCTCAGGAAAGACCAAGGACAGCAGTATAATGGTCAATGGCGACAGGCTATACAGCTCTCTAGACTATGATAGCTGCCCTCTTCCAGTGACTTTCTTCCATCATTTGCATGTCTGCGTATCAATTTTTAAAGTTAGACAGGCCATATATATAGATTAGCGAAATACTTTGCTAATGACATCTTTGGCATTTTGGGGAGCTTTTACAGCCTTTTTTTTTTTTTTTTACTATGCTGAGATAGGGGAATGGTGGGGGAAGTCCACAATAATTGTGCACTATAATTAGCAAGTTGGAAACTTGGGACTAATTTTCAATATATCTTCCCAGGCATCAGACTGTACATACTGTGGATGCCAAACCATTAGCAAAGATGGGAATAGGAATGGGAAAGCAAAGTCAATACAACAAATGTATTGATTTTCTTCTTGAAAATGACTGTTTTTAAAATGGCATGAACCAAGTCATTAAAGATACTTTATAGAAGTCTTCTAAAGTTGCACATGGTTGTTAATCTCTGGTTTATAAGCATATAGTTCTGTAAATGTTTCCAGCCAACATGATGGTAAATTTCTTCCAGTGTAGAAGTTCAGCTTGTCAAGCTATCAGTGTCAATACCGTGTACATCTTCCAACTATACAAAAGATGTATGTACATCTGTCCTGCTCCCATGCTAATTTATTAATACCTTCATCCTTACTTTGTCACCACCTCTCTTCTAACTTGCTAATTTTTTCAGATCTGTTTCTATCAGACTATTGAGTTAACCTAAAAAGTAGGTGCTTTGCCTACCTGTACCTTGTGCATCGCTGGTGGTGTGGAATTTTAGTCTATTTCTGAAGATCCTCCAAGCTCTCCTAAGTAGTATAAATTCCAGTTTTCAAAGTCAGTGCTTCTTTGTAGACTTCCTCCTGGTTCCTAACAACTCTGCAGGTACAGAAAGTAGCAGATGCACTCATGCGCTTAATAGTGGTTCCTGCAACTCAGTTCTTTATTCAGTAGTAAGTGAATGCTATAAAACTTTTTTTTTTCCTTGTTCCCCTTTGCCTTTCCCTTTTTCTGAGCCATGAAACAAAGATATCGCTGGTGTCTCCAATGTTTAATTCTAAAACGCTGTAAAAACTGGAGTGAACTGTGCGCTTCTGTAGGTTGTAGAGGCTGGTTTGGTTTTTTGTCTCTTTTAAAATTGTGAAGCACCTTTTTTTTTCCCGCCCTAACTTTATTTTCAAGGGCTTAGAAATTCTTTTTAAAGCCACTGCCAAACTTGTAAGCGCGACGAAGCGAACGACTTGCGAGAGGCAGCGGGGGTGGGGGGGAACGAGTGGCCACCTTCTCCGCTGGCGTTGCCGGTGGCGGGGCCGTACCCGCTGCTCCCCAAACCCGCCCTCGCGCTCTTAACGCCTCAGCCTTTGCCCAAAGCGCTGACGCTCGCCATGCTCACGGACGCCTGCTAGTTTGGTTGGGGTTTTCCCCCCGAGTTTTACTTCGCCGTCTGCCCC